GTGATGAGGGGTGAGTATATGTGTGGGGAAAAAGAGAGTGTGATGAGAGGTGAGTATAATGGAAGACATTGTATACATGTATGAAAGGATCGTAGTGAAATCATTAAAATTATGAAGGCTAAAAAAAAATTTTCTATGTGTATTTTATATGTAACTGTATTACTTCAGAATGAGTACAAAAGTAATATTGCATTATTGAGTGACCCCACACAAATGCCATAAAGTGCAGATAAAGCAATTCAAGATTTCTTACTCATCCACTCTCAAGATTTATTTCTTGATTTCCACATGATGGATCCTAACTCTACTCAAAGCTAAAGGATTACCACCTGTAGCTTCCACAGAGGCAGCTGAAGCTGTGAAACAGAACTTAACCATTCCAGAACATGGTGTTAAATCCAGACTTATGAGAGCACAATAGGTATTTTGGAGTTTCAGCCTAGTTTGAAAAGCAGCACCTAACCCAGTCATGCTCACTGAACAAACAGACTAATTCTGGAATGCGGTGGGGGAGTGGGAATCAAAAACAGGAAAACAGCACAATAGGAGGTCTAGGTCTTAGATTCTTTCACTTGCCAGGAACAATTGTCTAAAAATTGTAAGATAGTTTAAAGGCACTAAATTTTTCACTCTATAGAGCAAGATGGGTAATAGAACACACTGTTTGCAAGAACCAAACTCTAGAAGACATTTGGCCAAAACTCATCAAGTTTTCAGGCACAACAATCTTTCGTCTTGTCATGCTACAATTTAGAGATGTTTAGGCCAAATATGGGTGTTCTGTGATGTTATGCACTGTGAATATGCATAACTAATATACAAAGGGGTTTCATTGTGATATTTCCATTTGAGAAACCTTCTAAAAGGAAGATTAGCTTTTACTTAAAAATTGTATTTGTATAGAAATTTGCTGGTGTTTTTCTTATATGTAATGAATTCTACTGATTGTCAAAAAAGGAATATTCTGAATGAACTGAGTATGGACTGAAATAGTGAGAAGAATAAATTTTCTTGTTTTTTGTATTTTGAATGACTTTTTTTTTTAACTTGATGCTTCCAGAATATAGCCTATTTGTTCTTTATGTTGTAGAGAAATAATTGTTTGGTTATATGTGTACAATTGTCCCAGAAATTCCTAGGCTTGTCAGGAAAATATATAGCCAAGCAGGTGCAATTTGGGGCTTATAGCAAAAATGCACTAATTGAATAAGGTCAAGACATTTCCAATAGGTTGACTCTGGGAAGTTCATCCACCAGAAAAAAAGAAGTTCTGTGACTACTAATTTCTTTAGAAGTCTAGCCAGGTGTGGTGGCACACACCTGTGATCCCAGCACTCAAGAGGCTGAGGCAGGAGGATCCCAAGTTTGAGGCCAGCCTGGGCCTGTTTTCCTTTTATCTCTTATAAAGACGCAGATCGAGTTTAATTCCACCTGGTTAGGTGGAATGATCTCATCTCAAGAACTTTCTGGATTCTGCTTATTAGTAGCATTCTTTTAAATGAATTCTGATAAATGATTGCTCATACTGAATTTGAAGGTAAAATGTTCTGTCCTTTTGTTCAATTACTTTTCCAGTGATTGAATCAGATATTGCAGTGAATTAAGATGAATAGTTTGGACTCTGATGAATCCCTAAAATCCAGTTGTGCTGTATTCTTTCTTTACTTACTTTTAATTACTTTAATTACTTTTAAGTGTAATGGTGTTTTTAAAAATAAAACTATAAGCAACTCTATTGGAAATGCTAAGTAAAAAGGGGGAGGGCAAAGGAGAGATTCTGTTTGGGGGTTTAGTTGGTGTATTTGATTAAAATGGTAACCCAATCACAAAATTTCAACACTAGAGGTATTTCTTTATCATGGATTGTTTGCCGTAATTTTGTACAGTCAACAGAGAAACAAAAGTCAGGAAAATATACAGCCAAGCAGGTGCAATTTGGGGCTTATAGCAAAAATGCACTAATTGAATAAGGTCAAGACATTTCCAATAGGTTGACTCTGGGAAGTTCATCCACCAGAAAAAAAGAAGTTCTGTGACTACTAATTTCTTTAGAAGTCTAGCCAGGTGTGGTGGCACACACCTGTGATCCCAGCACTCAAGAGGCTGAGGCAGGAGGATCCCAAGTTTGAGGCCAGCCTGGGCCTGTTTCCTTTTATCTCTTATAAAGACACAGATCGAGTTTAATTCCACCTGGTTAGGTGGAATGATCTCATCTCAAGATTCTTAATTATATCTTCAAAGACCCTTTGTCCAAATATGGTCACATTCAGAGGTACCAGAAGTTAGCAACTTGGATGTAACTTTTTTAGTGGGTAGGGGCGTTGTTTCATGATCCACTCTACTGAGTAATTTAAAATTGTCAAGCAGGTCCCTATCATGCACCTGTCCACATCCATGTATTTAGAAGTGTTTTAACACAGATGCTCTTACATCACTGTTCTTCAGAATGACAGAAATTTGGTTATAAATAAATTCACTCACCTGAATTGTTAGAAGCATGGCTTTGTCATTTCAAAAAAAGACACAATATTAAAGTGATTCATATAATAGACAAAACTACACTCAGATAATTATGATTTTGCAAAAAAAAAAAGTTATCCCCTTTTCAGAAAGAAAAAAATGCAAGTACTAAGATATATTTGTCTATCACAAGAAGAGTCATGTGGAAGAAACCAAACTACTGTGGTGACTTCTACTGACATTTTCCTTGAGAAGTGTCAATAAATCAAGTTCTATTGTAATTAGAACAATAATAATCCAACTCAAGGCCTCAGAATTGCCAGGCAAACCTGTACCACTGAGGTAATCCCTAGCCTGTTATGGCAATTTGTGTTTTAACAAAGTATTTTGATTTCCCAGGGCAAAAGTCAGAAATAGCCATGAGAAGTGGCCATTAAAGAGAAGCATAGCTGTAGATAAATACATACAGAAGAGTCTGTGGTTATTTAAGGAATATCAGGCACTTAAAGAGAAAAAAAATAATACTTTTAATGTGGATACAAGGACATGATGGATATGTAAAGTATGAGGTGGAAAACAACTTAAAGTCAATGGGAAAAATACAGTTGCTGCGTAATTGGGATAACTGAGGGAGAAAATGTAACCAGGAGCATTTTCCTTAGTTATAACCACCTAGTGGCTTCACCAAGTCCTCAGAGAGGAGGGGCTGGCATTAACGGAAGGACTCGATACAATATTTGTAGGGATTTGTCAGCATATTTAAATAGACTTCTCTTTTCCTTTTTTTTGGTGCCAACATGCTAAGCATATCATTAACACCTTCAGCCCCCTAAATATATTCCTATTTTGCCATATAGTGGAGTTAGCTCTTGTGAACTAAAAATTCTCTCTCTCTCTCTCTCTCTCTCTCTCTCTCTCTGGAGGTACACTCATTAACAGAGAGGAAAGGTGAAATTAAAAATCACTCCTAAATTACAGGAACCCAACTACAACTTCAGTCCAGCATCTGATACCAAGAATGGGTAGATATGCTAAGTGGCAACCTTAAAAATGGAACTTGGACAAGACTTCTTTCTATTAGAATATTCTGTCTGCTCTTATAAACACCAACTCCAGGGGGAGGGGGAATAAGAAGGAGTACTGGAGGGGGTGAACATGAAAGTACCATGTTATATGCATGTATGGAAACACCACAAGGAAACCCCTCACCTTGTACAATTAATACATGCAAATAAAAAAAAAGAATTATTGTAAGCTTTAAAAGAAACAAAAACCAACTCCAGTTTTTAGATCATTTCTTTGTCCATCCATAACCACATCTGCAGCCAGACTGGGAGCACATCTCAAAAGTCAGTTCTCAAAATGACAGCATTCCAAGATGGCAAATCAAACTCCATCAGGTTTCACTATGGGCACCACCCCTCCATCTGTGTGATCCTACACTCAAATTTGTCCATCTTCTCCAGATAGCCAGTAAAACACCCATACATTGTCACAATTTGTGCTCTGGTCTTGTAAATTCTGCTAAACATAATTACAGGCAAATGAACTTTCAGCCCTGTAGAGCTATTATTTACATTAGTTGACTTTTTGGCCAATCAGTCTACTATCCTGTCTTTCATTTAATTTCATTATTATTAAAGGCTTGCTGCCTTTAACTTTTGTTAACATGACTAACATTAAGTTCAGCTTTCACATTACAAAAAAAAAAAAAGCTTGAATCAATTCATCTTATATACTATTTTGAATAATTTATAATATTTCTGGGCATGAAATATCTACAGTAATATCCCAATATAAAAGGGACATTATTTTTTTTTTTTGTTTTTCAAAGAAACATTCAGAAGTGGCATATATTCAAATTCTAATCATTCAAGGAAAAATGTGAGAAAGCCCTCCCACTCTCAGCCTTTGTTAACCAAAAAATAGCAGAATTCCAAGAAAGGAGGACCATTGCTTTGGTTCTAGTCCAGGAATGGAGTCTTGATAACTTTTATTATAGATTCCTCAATCTAGGGAGTGATTACAAATTTCATGCGTTTAATTTGAACAGTGATACTTTAGTTGGCTTCCACGTGACTCATTCTGTAAACCTTTGGCCGTTAGCATTCTGGCTGGAGTGGACCACATGCTGCCTTCCTGCTGACATCACTGGAAATCTTGAGTCAAGATCAAAGCTACTTTATGCTTCTCTGACCTTTCTTCACAATGCACAGTGGGGCTTGATTTCTCAGCTCAGAATTTTCAGACTCACTGATCCCATTGAGATTACCAGTTGCAAACAGCTTACATGTGGGTGCTCGCTGAAGGCCTTATGATGGGGCCACTGGAAATCAAGTCTTAGATTCTGGCTTTCAAGTGGTTACTAATCCTTTCCCAGATTTCAGGAAGTCCTATGTCTGGTTGCCTCACCAAGAAGTCAGTGAAGGGAGAAAACCCCAGCAGGGTGAGTGGCAGTGCTCATTCTACCCAGAGAAGCCTGCATAGGCTCCCTTTGCTCTGGAGATGCACTTGGGTTCTCCAAGTGCAAGGTCTCTTACCGTGATAGTCATGTCTGGGCTGGATGTTTCTTCAACATACAAGGCTGCTTCATCTACTTTTAGTTGTGTACTCTGCCATCCGGCTCCTAAACAAAAACAAGCAAATAAAAAGGACCATTTGAGCCATTGGATTCAGCTAACACAGATAGACACATAGCTGTCATTTTGCAGATTCTAAATCCATGTGTCTTGTAAAGAAAATTGATGATGACCCATGGCCCCTAATTTATCTGGTGATTACTGGTTACCTGGTTACCGGGAAGCCTACTTTCCAAGCTATGGTCAGCACTCCTTTTGTTTGTACCTAATCTCCAACTTTGGAGTCCATTGTCCAAGCCCTGTATCTTACACAGAGTTCTTTCTATTCCAAATCCAGAGTAGAGAGGGCAGGGAATGAATCCTTCCAGCTGCTAGGCCTCATCTGGGACTTAAAGTGAATCCCAGAATACAGAAATATACACATCTAATTCAATACCCAGTAGGAATTATTCCAGCGCCAGAGTGGTGGTACATGCGTGTAATCCCAGCATTTGGGAGGACAAGGCAGGCGGATATTGAGTTCAAGGTCAGTCTGGGTTACATAGCAAGTTCAAGGCCAGCCTGGGTTACCTAGTGAGACCCTGTCTCAAAAAAGCAAAAGCAAAAAGAAATGACTTCAGATTATTCCCTGTTCTCAACTCCACACACCCACTGGAAATAAAGAAGCATTTCCTATCACCTTGAAAATGTACACATGTTCTCTCCTAGTCATCAGAGGTATCAGTGTTTTTCCTAGGCCTCCTCCTCAGCTTCCTCCTCCCCCTCTCCTCTTCCTTCTCCTTCTTCTTGCTATGTTTTGAAACTAGGACTTGCTAAATTGCTCATGCTGGCCTTGAACTCAATCTTCTTGCTTTAGCTTCCCAAATGCTGGGATTACAGGCACGTGCCATCACTCTGGACTTTGTTTCTTTCTTCTTAAGTGATCAGACATCTGTTAGAGAGATGTTCTAACATCAAAGAAGAGACCACGGCGGGTGTTCTGAAATACAGCTGAATGACCTAGCTTAGAGAAAGGTTTTAGGCAATGACAAGTATATTTTTAAAAACATTGATTTAGTACAAGCAAAGTCATCTCCTTAAAAGCTAATAAAGTAATTTCAATTTAGAGTTTCTCAGAGTTTACTTTAACAAGCATATATATGTATTTTTTAAATGGTACTGGAGATCCAACCCAAGGACTCACACATGCTAGGCAAGTGCTCATATTTGTTTACATTATTGATTTCCTTTCCAAGTAATTTTCCATAAGGATAACACAACTACAACATTCATCCCAGACCTGAGTGAATATCCCAAATTCAAACATTCCGATTGTCTCACCTCATGTTAATTCAGAATTGACAAACTTAGCTGTTGGCCACATAGTAAATATTTTAGGCTTTGTGGTATTACCTGTTCTGTTGCAATTTCTCAAGCTGTTTTTGTAGCGTGAAAGCATAGACAATACATAAACAAACAGGCACACTGGGCTCCAATAAAACTTTATTTCCCAAAGCAGGCAGTGGGCCAGATTGGTCCCATGAGACACATATTACCAGCCTCTGTGCTAAATCAAAAAACCAGATGGCTGGGATGTAGCTCAGTGATAGAGCTCATTTTTAGCCTGTGTCAGACCCTGGGTTCAATTCCCAGTACTAGATAAATAAATGAATGCATAAATAAAAACTAGAGATGTGTAAGATTGCTGAATCCAGCATTTCTAGCAAGGATCAACTGAATAACCAGGTGGGAAGACACTAACAATGATTGGAATTTACATCCTACCTTAAATAAATTAGTATGATATTAATTAAATTTTAATATGTTAGCTTTGATACTATTTCCTTACTTTTCATTCTGGGTCCTCCAGGGCCTCATTTTACAGGATATATGCACAATGATTTCTCAAGACCTATGGGTGCAATTGTTGTCTCTGACTTGGTGACAGAAATTGGGTCAAAGGAGTTTGCTGACATGCCTGCAATCCCTTCTCAAGAAATTACTGCTTTATCTTTCTAATTTTTGCTCCAATGCTGGGGATTAAACCCAAGGCTTTGAATATGTTAGGCAATTGCTCTCCAGTGAGCTACAGCTCCACTCCTCAGTTTTGTCTTAAATGCAAATTTCTGGGGGAAACTCATTGCTCCTTGCTCTTCACCCTTGGTTTAACTCACTGGTGGATGTGACTCACAGAGACACAGATGTTGGGCGTGATAGGCAATCATATGATGTTTACTTCACTTAATAGTTTGTATTATTGTTCAGCAAATACTCATTTCCCTCCTCTCCCACCATGGGAGAAAGTTTCTTCCCTGAGCCACTGATGTTTGCTTTGGCCAATGGGATGTAAGAAGGCATAGCTATGATAAGCCAGGCGTGCCAATGGCTCCTATGTGAGGCTTGACCTCCTGCATTTCCACTGTGGCATGGGAAATGAGAACCACAGGGAGCAGACTGGGACCCCATTATTTTTTATTATTAGGATATGGGTGTGCTTCTTCTTCTTCTTCTTTTTATTTTTCTTCTTAATTTTATTTTATGCTTTAATTAGCATGCATTAATAGTACAAAGGGATTTCATTGCAAAAATTCCATAGGTGCGTACAGTGTATTTTGAACAAGTTCACTCCCTCTATCATATTCCTATACCCACCCTCCCCCCTCTTTTTCAAACAGTGTTTGATGGGTTTCTTTGTGCTCTATCATCTATCTATTTTATATTTAATATACATTTAACACACTGAGTATCTTCTCCCTCTACCCTCCCGTTAGACCCAATCTTCACCTTGGAGCCAAGCTAAGGGTAGATAAGTGAACCCCAAGCCCAACTACATATGCATAACACTAAAATCTATTGGTTTTTTGGATGGTTTGTGAGTCAGTATTATTGTAACAGCTAATAGTCTAACCAAAATTATAAATGAAAATCATCTTAGGTCAAATACTCGTGTGTGTGTGTGTGTGTGTGTGTGTGTGTGTGACAGGGTCTTGCTATGTTGCCTAAGCTGGCCTCAAATTCCTGGGCTCAATCTATCCTCCTGCCTCAGCCTCCCAAGTAGCTGGGGCTATAGGCACATACCACTGGGTCTGGCTAGATCACATCATTTTTAACAATGTAAACACAATTCTCTCTGCATCATGAAAATTTCACTTACAAGTACTGATTCTCACCTCCACACATTATTGTACTTTGGGAAGTTATCTTCTCCCTGCTACAATCATGCCTTGTGTGAACACTACAGACTTTATTCAAAGCTCTGTGCTTATAAGAATGGGCTATGAGAAAACATTAATATTCCTAAAATTTTAGCCTGCACCAAGAGAACACTTCGAATTAGATAACCTATCATTTCCTGGCAAAAGTGAAAGAAAACAGCCATGGTATTTTAGTTTAAAAACTGTTATTAATCCTAGGCTAGGGTTATAGCTCTGTGGTACAGTGCTTGCCTGGCATGAATGAGGCCCTGAGTTTGATCCCCAGACCACAAAAACAAAACAACATCAAAAAATTTACTAATTCTGATAATAAGCTATAAGTCGGAAATATTTTAAAAGCTAAATGTGAGATTCCTCGGGGAGAAAACTGCTTGCAGAACAAAGCAACTCTGTGACTCTTTTGGGTATGAAAAAGTGGATCCTAAGTCAGAGGAGGAGAGAGGAAGATGGGGAGAACTTGAAAGAAATTGGAACAAGAATTGGCAAGGCAGAATAATAAAAAGGAGTTCGTTGTTTTTATTGTTGTTCTTTTGAGACAAGCTTTCCCTATGTAGCCCAGGCTGACTTCAAACTCACCATACTCCTGCCTCAGCCTCCTAAGTGCTGGGATCACAGGTGTGCAGCACCACACCTGTCTTAAAAGGATTTTTGAGTCAGGTATAGTGGTTTATGCCCGTAATCCCAGCTACTGGGATTGGGAATCACCATTTTGGAAAATGAAAGTGGCATTTTCTGATGGATAAGCACCCTCCTATTAAGAGTGTCAACTGTCTTTATCTTTGGGTTCTCAAGATAAAAAGGTCTCCTGCCCTTTGGCATTCACATAAAGGTGGTCTGTGACCATCTCCTGGGCAGTGCACATTTTCCAAGATTCTTGGCACCGTGTCCTTTTCAGATTTCACATTTGCAGGGAGCTCCCATGTGCACATGGTCCCCCGAGGTCCAAATGTGGGGTCTCATCCACTTTCTGCCAGACAACACTACACAAGACAATGGAATGGATAGATCTCCACTGCAGGTCTGTGGGGGAAGGAAGAATGGTGTCCTGCACAGCAGAATAAAGAACACAAAAAGGAACTAAATGTATCATTCCACCAGAGGACAGAAGGAGCACTTGAAACGCTCCAGAATACCGTCAATGCCTTTCAACCCTGGCCTCCATGTTTGAGTCCGAGAGTATCTTCAGTCCAGGAAGATCTATGATTTACAACTATCACACAAACATTTCAACAGCTCAGATGTGTAATTGTATAAGACAGACCTTCCAGACTGATGTATTTCTATTAATTGAATTATGTAGAGAAATAATATAGATACTAATAATATTCTATTATTAATTACATAAGCACAACCTCCTCTGATATCAGGGAAAGAATCAGAAAGAATTTGGCTTGGCACTTGGTGGCTTACGTCTGCAATACTAGTTACTTGGGAGGCAGAGATCAGGAAGATCAAGGTTCAAAGCCAACTCAGGCAAGTAGTTTGAGAGACCCTATCTTGAAAATATCCAACACAAAAAAAGGGCAGGTGGAATAGTTCAAGTTCATGTTTGCCTAGCAAGCCCTGAGTTCAAACCCCAGTGCTACCACCAAAAAAAAAAAAAAAAAAACTTGACCTAAGACTTGAATTATATCACACACACACACAATTTCTACAGAAAGTACTTCACACAACCATTTCCTCTTATATTCTGCTTTCTCTCATTGCTCACATTATTATTTATAACTTCTTTTTTTGTGGTACTGGGGCTTGGTCACAGGGCCTACACCTTGAGCCACTCCACCAGCCCTTTTTCATGTGAGGTATTTTTGAGATAGGGTCTTGCAAACTATTTTCCAGGGCTGGGCTTGAAC